GGTGCTCTGACCCCACTCAGGAGCTGCAGGGTGTGGGTGAGTCAGTGGGAAGTGCTCTGGGGCAGGTCCTGGTGCTGTGCTGAGGTCAGTGATTCCATCAGGCAGAGCCTGACTGAGGATCCCCTCCCACCTCCCCGTTCCCTCCGTGCTCCTGTGGGTGCTCAGTCTGGCTGGGTGTGCTGCTTGGGCTTCCCACTGAAATGGGAGAATAAATAGATGAGTTTTGCTCATATTGCTCACTCAGGGCAGTGCTGCTCCAGCAGATTAACAAAAAGTTAATACCTGCTGATCCCATAAAGCTTTCTATATATAGGGGCTGGCATTCCTCATGGTGGTTTGGGATTTGAGGTACAGCTGTTTTGGAAGGGCTTCTTTCTGCTCTTCATAATACCTTTTTTTTTGTGGTCTCAGGTCTGGTGGTGAGTGCTGTAAGCACTTTTGGAAAGTTGGAGTGGCTGGTGGGCAGGGATCTGGATCTGCCTGGGGGATGCTGGGGCTGTGCCAGCCGTGCCAGGCTGGGCACTGCTGAATTCTCTGGCTCTGCTCATCTTTGTTTGCCCTCCCTGCTCACACAGGGGTTTCTGCTCACTCCAAAGGAGCTGCCAGGAAGCTTAAACTGATATTTGAATTGTTTGGGGGTAGATCCAGTGGGAAAGGCCAGTGAGGTTTCTGGTTATGGACATGAGGACTGGGAGCCTGTGTGAGTGCTGTGCACTGAGCTCCAGTGCTGACCTCACCACCTGCCGTGTGGACACGAGATCCTCCCAGAAGGATCCTGTGACACTGTCCCAGAGAGTTCTTCTGGGAGCATAAAATATTCAGGGCCAGGTACAATGTGTTGGAGGATCAGTTGCATGTTGTGTAAGTCTCTCTTTCAGCATCTTTGTTCAAATGTTTATTTTCTCCTCTCAGGTTTTTTTAGTTTAGGCTCAAGAGTTTCCAGTTCCGTGTGAATTGTCTGGACCTGAATCACTTTCAGGTTTAGGATCCCAAATCTTCTGCTTCTGGTGGGAATCCCCTGGACATTGTTAAGCGTCTAGGTTGAAAATACCTTTTTGGTGGAAGGTAGTGGTGTTCAGGCAGGGTTTTCTTTGGGAATTAGGTAATCTGTTTCTGACCTGCTTCCTCTGGCAGTTCATTTATTTGGATGGAATGTGAAATGCCCTGGTGCATGAGTGGCTTTCAGAAGAGATTATTTCTCTGCATTTCAGTTTTCATGATTTCTGTAGCAGATACCTTCATAATCAACTGTGAACTGGAAGAATCTCTGACTGAGCTAACCCTGCTTCTAAAGTAAAATCTGGACAGATATTTTCAAATCCCACGTTTGCCACATCCTTCCCACGAGCACAGATGTGATTGTCTGCTAAGACACAAAAGACCAAT